CTAAAAATTTTTAAAATTTTTCTTGGTAGAAATTGTCTCATTAAAGAAATGGAGTTTTGATTAAGAGAAGCAGTTTTGAATTTGGAAATAGTTTCAGAGACTTGGTTTATATTACATGAAATGATAAAAAACCTAACTTTTCTTAGTCTGTGTCTTTTTTTAATGCTTATTTATGTATATTAGTGTTGCCTGCATGTATGTAAGTGCACTTCTGACATGCAATGCCTACGGAGGTCGGAGGAGAGCAGGTGGATCCCCTGGAACTGGAATTACAGATGATTATTAGCCACCATGTGGGTGCTGGAAACCAGTGCTCTTAAACACTGAGCCATCTAGCCAGCCTGTGTCTTTAAAAAGACTATTTTAAAATTGCACCTGGACTTATAGATAAACTGTTTCTTTACAGTTTGGACCCTCTGATTGTGAATGTTGCTAACCCTGGAATCAAGTTCACAACCGTTCTCTTTGCCAGACAGACAGATTGCCTTCTAGTGGGAGACAGTGATGGACAGGTTGCTGTGTATGAAGTGAGAAACATGCCTGTTGCTTCGGATAGTGGCAAGGTAAGAATGAAAGGAAGATTTTAGGTCATTTTAAGACTGCATTTAATGGGAACACTGTGCCAAGTCATGGGTGTACATTTCCTAAGATGAGCTCTGTGGAAAGGTGTGTGCTCTAAGAGGAGCTGCCCGTACTCGTGGGAGGCTTGTTTTCTGCCAGCCTCACTTATCTGTGAAAGATGAATAATGGGAATAATCACATCACTGAGCATAAAAATTTTAAACTATATTGAGGAACCCGGTATTGTTCTTGTTATGTAACTGGAACTTGGAAATTAAGTGTAACTGAAAACAACGTATTTTCAGATATTTTTGAAATAAGGATTTGTTTCTGATGGCTTACCTGTATCCTATTATATCACTCAGTTATTCGGATGAGAATGCTTTGTTGCCAAACTTTGACAAGCAACTCAATATCATAAAATGCACATTGTTTTTATGATAGATTTTCAGTTTTTCTGGCAAATGGTATCATAAACATGAAAAACATGATAAAATATTAAAACTACATAAATGATCATTTTTAAAATGCCGAGTCTAATAGATCTGGAAAAGAATGAATAGACATTCATAAAAATATGATAATTTACATATATCTTAAGTCAGCCTCACTACTAATTCAAGAAATAAAACATTGTTAAATGAAATTAAAATATAATGTATTTTCACAATCAAATTAACAGGGTTATTTGATTTTTAAAAATTTTTAAAAACTTAGGTGTCTCAGGAGGCAGAGGCAGGTGGAGCTCTGTGAGTTCAAAGCCAGCCTGGTCTACATAGCGAGTTCCAGGCCAGCTGGGGCTACAGGGAGACTCTGCCTCAAAAAGACCACAGACACACATATATTTACACACACACACACACACACATATATTTACACCCATGCATATAATGCCCATGGGGGCCATAAGTGGACATTGGATCCCCTGGAACTGGAGTTGCAGATTTTTGTGAACAACCACGTGGATGCCAGGAACTGAACCCCAGTCCTCTACAAGAGCAGCCGGTGCTCTTGACTGCTGATCCATCTTTCTAGCCTGGTTATTTAAAAATTTTATGAACCCACTCAATAATGGAAAACATTTGCCAAGCTAAGCTCTTTCATAGTGGTGGTTGGACTAGACACTGGTGTAACCTCTTTGGAAGCGATCTGAAGTCTGAATCTAACAATTAGAAGTATTCAGGGAATGTGGATTGCTGTGAACTAGTAATTCCACTTTTGGAACTTTGGACATATCATCTTTTCTACCTAAAATTTCCATGGCCTGTTCCTTTCCCTACTTCAAATTTTTGCTGAAATGTTACTTTTCAGTAAAGACTTCTTTGACCATCTTATTTAAATCTCTATTCTCTATTCTCCCAGAACTCCCTATTCACTCCTCTCCTGTCACTTATTTTCTTGACAACCATCATCTTTGAATATTCTGTACTCTTGATTGATTTGTTACTTGCCTACACTCCACAGTGTAACTCCATGAAATGTAAATATAAACTTGACGAAAAACAAAAGAGAGTTTTGCCTCTTATGCTAGGCTGTACTCCTGTTTACTTACATTAGGTGCTTAATAGTTATGGAATAAATTTTTGTTGAATAAATATGCTATATTTTACATATCATTTCTTAGGGGAGGAATCATGAATTTTAGTTTTCCATTTTAATTGTCTGTTTTCCCACCTAATTCTTTGCTCAAAATGCATTAATCTCCTTACGTAACAATTGTTGTCTGCTCTGAGGAATACAGCCCCAATGGCCTGCTATTTTCATCACCTAAAACATTTTAATATTTCTAGTTTTCACATGTTCAATAAATATAAGACATCTTAACTAGTACTGCGGTGATTATGTCCAAGTTGGAAACTATCTAAGATGCACAGCAGCGTGGCTGAAATAAGAAGAAGAGAACTCTACTCCTCATTCAGTTTCTTAAGACACTTCAGTGGATTCAGCACTGTTTATAGGAATCCTTTTTCTTCTTCTGTTCTTAACCTTCAGGTCCTAAGCAGACTCTCAAGGTTTAAATCCTTTTCATCTTTATGATTCTAAGTTTTATTTCGCTGGAGTTCTAAGAACTCAGACATAAACTTTGAACTTGTAAAGAACTGGAGTTGGGTTATTTTAAACCATCTGGTGGTATGTGCTGGAAGTAACAGAAATCTGTGACCATTAACGTGTTATTTTCTTTCCATCACATAGTCATCTGTAAAAGCTCTTAAATACTACAATGGTTTATTAATATGTCTTGTAGTATCTTTTATATGCATCTTTATTACTAATTAGAAACCAGTGCTAGTGGGGCTGGAGAGATGGCTTGGCGGATAAGAGCACTGACTGTTCTTGCAGAAGACTGGGGTGCAAATCTCAGCTAATGACCATCCATAACTCCAGTTCCAGGGGATCCGACTCCCTCTTCTGTCCTCTTCGGGTACTGCATGACATGCGTGCACTAACACACATGCCAGCAATACACTCATACACATAAAAAGAAACACAAATTAAAAGGAAACCAGTGCTAGCACCAAACAGGCATTCAATAGATGTTGAACGAATGGCTGAATGAGCAAACACACAAGCCAAAGGTATGAGAGGAAGGCAATATACAGCCCAGAAATGTTTTCTTAAAATATTTATTATTTTTATTTTATGTGTATGCGTGTATTGCCTGCATGTAGGTCAGTGCATCCATGTCGTGCAATGCCAGCAAAGTATAAAAGAGGCCGTCAGATTCCCTGGAACTGGAGTTACAGACAGTTGTTAGCTGCCATGTGGGTACTGGGTTTCGAACCTGGGTCTTCTGCAAGAACAGCCAGTGTTCTTAACCGCTGACCCATCTCTCCAGCCCCACAGCCCAGAAACATTTTTAAAAGGCCATAAGGGGGTGCTGGTGAGGAGGCTCACTGGGTAATGGTTCTTGCTGCCAAGCCTGATGACCTGAGTCATCCTCAGAACGCTCATGGTGATGGTGGAAGAAGAGAACTGACTCTCACAAGTTGTCCTGTGACCTCCACATTCACTCCATGGCACACACACTCACGTACACACAAATAAGCAAATAAGTGTAATTTTTTAAGCATGTAAGAACCAAATTCCTAAAGAAGCTCAGAGTAAGAAGAAAAATAATTTTTGAAAGATGAATGGGAAGAAGGAAAGGAGAAAATAGGCAAATGCTTTGAGGAAGACTTTTACAGTAGGTGTTGGCTGGAGATTCTCCTGAAGATGTAGGGCTTTTAGACACAGGGAAAGCTGTTATTCCAGACTAGGAAAAAGACTTGATGTAAGATACAGAATTGGTAAAGCCTATGGCATTTTAAAGAAATGGTTAGACTTATTTTAACTGGTAAAGAAGTTATCTGAGAGAAAAACAGCGAAGAGTCCAGGCAGGTCATTTGAGGCCAGAAAGGTATGGCCGCCACGAGGAAGTGTGATCTTTGTTCTAAAGAATATGCAAAGCTATTTAAGGTTATGGCTTTACAAGTCACACGGGGAAAATGGATCCCCATCTCGTACCTCGTATAATGGTAAATTCCATATGGATTAAAGACTTTGTGAAAAGCAAACAAACTATTAGAAGCATATTTGCATGCCCTAAGGAATATTAAATTATTTTTTAAAGACCAAAATAAATTCTTTAATTTTTGTCTGTCTCTATATTAATAAAGTAGCTGTAATACTGGTTCCAGGATCAAACTTTTTTTTTTTTTAAGATTAAAGCAGTCAATAGGTACAAAATAGTTAGATTTGTTCCTGGTATAGTCTAAGCAGTCAATACACCTCAAGTATTCTTTGCATCGTTATTATGTCAAAATTAAATTTGTTCACTGGTCATGGTCTGTCATCCCTGAACTCAGGATGTCGAAGCAGGAGGATCATGAGTTTAGGCCAGCCTGAGCTACACAGTGAAACCTTGTCTCAAAAAACCTAAAAACCAAACAAACAGAAAAATAATAATGATTTAACTTTCTGTGCTTGATTCTGTATGCCAAATGAAAAGTAACAGGCTTGGGAAACAAGATTTCCAACACATACAAAAGATTTTTATATCTAGGCTATGTAAAGAACTCTGCAAAAACCATATGAAAAATTCAACTCAGTTTTTAAATGAGCAAATATGTAAAAATATTAATCCACAAAGAGGAATCTACAATATCCAAAACATGGAACAACCTTCCTTCTCATTAGCAATCAAGAGCTTTGCAGTGAAATTATTTAAGAGAGCTGCTAACATTGACTGAGTAGTTACAATATTAACCAATATCAAGTACTAACAAAGTTATAGGCAATTGGAAACTTACAAAGGGTCCTGGGAATACGATTTAACTGGCATCTTTGGAAAGCATTTCACTAAAACAGAAAACTTGAATACCATTAAGCCCCTGATAACATGGATGAGTACATCTTGTTTGCATTAACCAGGAGGCACGGATATCAATGTAAAATGATTTATATTTCTTTTTAAAATGATTCTTGAAGTAGCCTTTATACACAGAAAGCTTAGTTCAGTCTTAAATAACTGATGTTCAAATGCTATGTTACAATCTGGAAACATTTTGGGTTTTGGTCTGTGATCTAGATTGTCCAGTAAACATTTATGTCAAAATCAAATGTTAGGCAATCTAATATGACAAATTCTTTTATGTATAAATGAATATTAAAATGCTAAATATGTAACAAATTCCTTTATGCAAAAAACATGAAAATTGGGACTGGAGAGATGGCTCAGCAGTTAAGAACACTGACTGTTTTTGCAGAAGACCCAGGTTCGAATCCCAGCACCCACACGGCAGCTAACAACTGTCTGTAACTGCAGCTCTAAGGGATCCAACAGCCACTTCTGTCCTCCACGGGCATTGCATGACATGGGTGCACTTACCTACATGTAGCAATGCACGCATACACATAAAAATAATAAAATATTAAAAAATAAAAATAATTAAAAACATGAAAATTATGTTTGATTTGCTGTATTGTTTTTATGTAAAATGCCTACTTTTGTCAGAGTAAAAAG